GAGGGACGGACCTGCTTCTGCCTGGGAGGTGAAGTAGAGAGGTGGGGAGCCCGAATCCGGGCGGTGGGCTTGGCCCCGGAGGGTTCGTGTTGTGGGGGAGCGGGGGGAGATGCCTCGGCCGGAGCTGGGGTGGAAGGCAAAGAGGCAAAGCCCCTTCGGGGGATAGAAAGTTCGCGCTTCAGAAATGGTTAGTTTAAAGAAGCGCTCAAAGTAGAGATGGTTTTAGAACGGGAGAGAATGAAAAAAAAAAAAAAATCTTTAAATAAACTACGTTAAACCTGAGATGAAAGAGTGCTGGGAAGGAAGCCGGGAAGGAGAGCGATGTCGGGGAAGTGTCCTTCTCCTGTAGGAGCAGCACGCCAGCCGCATCTACCCCCGGCCAGACCGTGACCACAGCCACTGGCTCTGAGACGTGGCTTCCCTTGAGGTCTTGAGATCAGGTCTCTGAGGCCCAGTTCTCCTCGGACCGTGGTCCCTGGGAGGGCTCTGTGGGGTACGAATGATCCCGGTGGGCCGCCTCTCTCCTAGGGTTGGGCTGTGCCCACCATCCACTCCGGCACAGCAAGTGGGGCTCGCTGTGGGCTCTCACGAAGGTGCGGGAAGCTCAGCTGCAGGGCTGAGGTTTCCCTTCCCAGGCGTGGAAGTGTCGCAGGAGCAGCACTGCGGCCCCGGCAGGGAGGAAGGCAAGTGCTCTTCCTCCTTTATGCACCCGCTGGTCACGGTGGCCACGGGCTAACTTGCAGGTGGGCAAGAAGAAGAGGACGTACTGCAGAGGGCAGAGTTTATTTATTTATTTTTAAGAAATTAGTTACCTTAACAAGCGTGCCTCGGGACTCTGGCTGCCTGGATCGTCTCTCCTGATTGCGGCTATCGAAGCTAATTTCTTTGTGGGTAAGGGTGGTAGGAGGGAGAAGTGCTGTAGAGAGCACTCGTACCCGTTAGGTGTGAGGAGTGTGGAAGTCCCAGCTTTAGCCCAGCTGGGGATGGTGGAGTGCCCACACAGGACTTGATGGGGACTAATCAGTGTCAGTGCCTTTAACCAAGGCCGTGACTACCCCGAGGCAGGTCAGTGGATGGTACTGAATGAGTCTGATGAGTCACTGCCTTGTCCCTACAGGTGACACATTCACAGGTGTCCTTGGTGAAGGATATAGCTGCCAGGCTCTACACCAAATGACCCATGAAGGGCTCTACAGCCCCCTTGTCCCCTTGGGAGCTCCAAAATGGTGTGACACGGACTACATTTACCATGCGTATATTGTATGTGTACAGTTGAACTTCTGCTGTCGTCCGTTCCATACTGGTCACCTTTAGGGAAATGCATTTGCAAACTGTGCCTGGAGCAGTCAGGGAAGGTGGGGAAGCCCTCCCACCTGTCCCCAGCAGAGGATTTTTAGCTGTGAGCTTGGAAAGAGCCCAACACACCCACACTTGTGTGATTAAAAACAGAGGGAAAAGCACACACCGTGATGCTTGTTCTGTCTAGCAGGGCTGTGGGAGTCATAGGCTGGGTGAGAATGGCCGGTGAGAACGGCTCCGCGCAGTGGGGCTCGAGAGCTGCAAAGAGCTGGTGGCATTTTAGCTTCATTTTAGCATTTTTAAAATGCATTTTGTTTATAGGCGATTCCCGAAGGATTGTGGCCAGCAAGGTGCTCGCATCGGCTCTGGGACGCTGGGACCACAAGGCACTACTGCAATACACGTTACTGATGTCATCTGTTCGATGTAATGGCTAACCATGGATCGATAAAGAGACATTACCTTGCACCTCGCCCCCTCCTTTAAGGTAGGAGCGATTCAGCAGGGGAATCCAGTGCTTTACCCACAAAAGCACCGTTGTTCTGATTCACATCTTTATCTTCCAGTGTTGAAACCTTCCCTGTTGCCTTGCCTTGTGTGTCGGTGGAGCCCCTGGTGCTGCCTCTCCCAGGAGCCTCCTCACCCCTTAATCCATGTTACGCCCCCACCCCAGAGACCCCCGCTGTGAATGCCCCAGCCCTTTACCCTCCTCTGGTCCTGAGAGGTCTGCAGCAACCTGTCCTCATCAACCTGCTCAGATTAATGAGACAGATGGACAGCAGAAGCTTGTGAAACTCATTTCTTGCTTTAATTATTTTTAGCTCCTTTCTTAATATTACTCTGACTCGAGAAAAAAAAAAATCCAGCTGTAAATGTTGCTGCTCTATTTAAGCTGATTCTCACCAGTGCTCCCTCCCCACCTCCTTCCCAGGGTGGCTCCCTTCATGCCCCCTTGTCTAGTTTTCCTGAGACTGGAAGCTCTTTGGGGTAGGGACTTAATGAATTTCTTGTGTTTGCTCTGCGGCAGAGATCTTATGGAGCAAGATAATAATCCGTGTGATCATTTTATTTAGATTAGATTGCACCACACACAGAGACAGGGCTGAATTAAAATTGCACAGGCAATCTTGATTGTGATATTTGCAGTCATTTTTTTTTTTTTTAACATTACAACTTCTTTAATATAGTGCTTAGTGCAATGACTCTCTCTCATAAACTCTACTCCTTCTTCCCACCCCAAAATCATGTATGATGTGGCATATATTGGCCCTAGTTAAACACTGGACAAGTTGCAGCCCTTGGCTGTGACAACATGGTATCACTGGAGCAGGGCAGAGAAACAGGTCAGTAGTGAGTTGTGGGAACCTCAGAATGAGAGGATGTGCCAGCAGGTTTCACAGGTGTATGCTAACAG